CATACCTGGCAACCTGCAATCCAGTGGGTGATTTACGAACGTCCCTGCCCACACTCACCCAGTTGTTGGGAGCAATGATGGTCGCCCCTGCCTGCACGCAGTCCTGCCAGATGTAGTAATCTGTGTACTTCCCCGTGCGATTGCGACTGAGCTGGAACCAATGGTGCTTGTCACTGGTGTGGTTTGGTATCAAATCCATTATTACCTTTAACCCTAAAACACACACATTTGTTAATCAAGCCTTTTATGGTAAGGATCACGTTTTTTATTTATTTATTTATTTATAAAATGAAATCCTGAACATTTTGGGACTGGCAAAGCTAGTTCTCTTCCATTCAGCCCAACAGCCACAAGGGCTGGGCAAGGATTTGGTTTAAGGCACACGCGCCACCAACCAAGGACACAACTGCAGGAAGGAAATGTATGCTCCCTCTCAATCTTGTAATTCTATCTCTGCTTTCTTCAGAAAACCACAAGGCGCACCTGTATCATAACAGCGAACATCCTTTTGACAGAGCTATTTTGATCACAGCTTACCTCGATCATGTATGGATGCCAGAAGATCCTCAAAATCACTCATTGATCCAAACATGGGATCAATATCATAGAAGTCTTCAGCTCCATAGCCAGACTCTTTTAAGGGGGACTTGTAGAAAGATGTGATCCAGATGGTTTTTATATTTAAATGCGTGATATGGTCCAGCTTTTCTTGGATACCTATTGAAAGGAAAAGGGCATCATCTGATTACAAAAGACAAATAGGTTTTGTTAAATTAAGTTCGCTGCAGGCTCTCAAGGATGGAACAAAGATCTCCTTGCTATATAACCACTCCCAGTTTTCACCAATCTCAGTAATTTCTTGTAATTTCTTCAGGAACAGCAGGAGACCACAGAATGGAAACCATTCTAAGCCACTTCTATAGGGAAAAAGGAAAATAATAATCATTTAAAAAAAACAGACCAAAGGCCACTTCTAATCTGCAGTATTAAAATACTCATAATTTCATGCAATGTATTTAACATTCACTTCTGAAAACAAACACCTGTATTTTATTGAAGTACAACCACATCATTACTTTCTGGTTTCAAAGTCAATCAATCCTTTGATCACCCAAAGGGAAGTTTTAATGCATCCCAGTTTTTCCTTCTGTTGGGAAGTCTCCTACACTTTGCTACAGCTAGTGCTGCTTTTTGTCTAGAAATTCTTCAGATGCTATGGGGCTAAGACATTCATTTTAGAAGCCCAGCTGATACCTGAGCAGTATCAGGTACGCTTTCCTAATAGGATCTCAGAAACACAATAAAGAAAAAAAGAAGGAACACTTTGCCCCATTCTGACTTTGTCAGTTTGATTTTTCTGACTTCTCAGGGGGATGCAGCCAAACCAGCGTGACAACGCTGCCATCCTCCCATCTGACCATAGTTTTGCAGAGATGTTTTCCCATAATAGCAGTTCTGTTCCTGTTTGCTCTCAGCTCCACTGCCAAAAGCTTGGTCTAACTCCAGGCATAGGATAACTTGAGCAAGAAGCTTCTGATGATATCTAATAATTGGCAGCGTGGCTCACCAGCCAGTGGTTATCAGGACAGCTTTCGTGCCCCACTCTCAAATCACCATCTTTTTCTGCTCAACTATAAGGTGACTTTTAAAATTATTTTTATGCACATACCTCACGCACAGACAACAGCTGCCCTGCTTCGTTACGTACCTTTCAGATCACCGTTCCCATCCATGTTGCTGTCCTTATAAGAACGGGGGTAGACCTGGTAGATAGGACCATCTTGCCACCAATGGAGGCACTTTGGGGACAGAGCAATGATGGCAATCGTGGCAGACACGAGCAGGACGGCAGCAGCGATGATGAGCCAGAAGAGAATCTCCCTGGTGACCCTGTACCGGGCTTGGCTGGAGAACTTCAGCAGGACCTCCTTCGGCATTCCCGCATAGGGCTGCAGAGCTGGCTCTGCCACAGCTGCTGGGCTCACGTCAACAGCACACGTTTTTGGTATTTCATCTTGGCTGCTGGTGTTGGTGTCCCTGTCATCAAAAGCCTCATTTTGAACAAACCCGTTGTTCTCCACACCTCCTTTCTCACTCAGCTCCATCTGTAAGCTCTTTGCCTCCTCGTCGACCATTTCACTTCGTGCCTCTCCTCCTAGGGACACTCACTACAGCGAGCCAGCATACCTTTGTTCCGTGGAATGAGAAGCAGCACAATTAGCATCTGGCTTTATAAACAACCCTGACCAACTGGTCGAAGTTCACAAGAAACAGAAAGGGCAAAGTGCTCCGGCTCTTCTGCATAATAGGCATCTTCAGCGAGATAACACTGCAAGAAAGCAGTTTCTCACAGTGGCAGGCCTGTTTCTGGGGCTAACTGCAAAGTTACATTTACTGCTGCTCTCTTCAACATCATAAATTTCTCTTCCGTAATGTGCAGCTTCGCAAACTGATCCTGGTTTCTTTCCCCTCATGCAATCTCAGCATTAATGAATAATGCAAAGACTGACTGAGAACAAGTTGTTGGCAGCTTCAACAGCACAAACTCAATAGGAAAAATAGATCCAACGCCTGCTGTGCTTGGTTTCTCACTGCCCACGGTAAGCGCCTCAGCAGCAACAGCATTGATAAGACACACACTTCAATGAGCAGCACCTTACAGGTTGCTGCACCCAGAGCTCTCCCAGTCCAGGCACAATCAATCCAGCACTGCACAGGCACAAGCAGCACCCCTGTACAGTACAACGTAGCCACATCACTTAGAATCAGTGCATCATAAGGTTGGAAAAGATATCTAAGATCTCCTATCATCAGTATTTCCCCACTAAATCACATCCCCTACTATCACACCTACGTGTTTCTTGAACACCTCCAGGGATGGTGACTCTACCACCTCCCTCGGCATCCTGCGCCAGTCCTGACCACTCTGCCTGAGAAGTTTCTCCTAATATCCAATCCAAACCTCCCCTGGAGCAACTTGAGGATGCTCCCTCTCGTCCCATTGCCTTTCCACCTAAGGAGCTGCTGGGTGAGTTGTGGTCACGTGCAGTTGCCTAGGATGCAGATTCCTTTTCAACTTACTGGTATCTAATGCTAATTAAAGGAACTCACCCCCTGCTGCTTGTTCCCACCTCGCTTTGTCCCTGCCTTATGGCAGGTAAGCTATCAGGTGGCTGAGGAGCAAACCACACTGGGGAATGGATTTAGCACAATACAAAAACCGTTTTGCTCATTAAAGATCTCCATTCCTAAGCTGCTCAGTCACCACAGGATCGCATGGGTTGCCCCTCCTCAGCGCAGTGGGACAGGGACAGGCTGTGGACAGTGTGCATGGCACAGTATTTAGCCAAGCAGCTTCTCAGTCAACTCACACACGTGATGTCTCACATTCATTTCAGCATGTTTCTGTCCACCCCTGTACAGCAAATCCTCTTATTTCCATTTTGTGGACTACAAAAAGCAAGGCACGTGGCAGTTAGGTCTCAAATCAACAGATCTGCGTGCGTGCTCCAACAATCGAACACAGGAAGAGAATTCAAGTTCTCTTAATGGCTTACTCAAAGTCAAAGATCAGATATCCTCAGTTCACCCAAGTGGTGCAACTACCACCCAAAGCGCAGCTGAAATTCAGATTTAAAGTTTCTCAGCCATCTCTCTCAAAGCCAGTAAAAAATATAATGTTGATAATTGCCTGCAAGATGAGTGTCTGATCTGAAGATACAGGGTGTTACCTTCAGCATGCATACTTCTTACAGCTGATAAAGGCCAACTCAACAAGTCAGAAGTAATTGGAAGTCATCACTGCATTCTGACTTGCAGTTTTCTTCTCTTAATTCAAACCTTTTCAGCTGCACAACTGCAAGCGTTCATTCCATGAACCCTGCCACTTGTGAACTCTTTCTTCAAAATAGCATCTGTTGTCCTAATGCAATTCCTAAATCATACTAAATGTTTCCTAATGCCTTAAGTAGGACAGATTGCGTCTCAATTGCCAAGTGTGCCCTGAAAACAGGATTATTCTGCTGGAGGAGATGAAACCATGCACAAGCCCTAGGCTGTCTACAGATGGAACTTGTGTGGACACTTCAACCTCCCCATGGTTGCTGGGCACATTAAAAAAAAAAAGAAATGGGGGGTGTATTTTAAGATTAATATAGAAGATAAACTGTGCTGGGAACAAGCAGCTGTCTTGGTGAACATCTCAGCTCTCTCCACACCTTTGCTTTTTGCAACCAAATAGTTGACATAAGCAGCTGTACTGCTTTGTAGCACAACTGCTATATATTAACCATGTATAAAACCACACAGGTGTTTATATGCCTATTTTTCCCCCTCTTCACCTTGAATTGCTCATCATAAAACTGTTTGATAACGGGAGAATGTAAATTTCACCTTGGGAGAGAGATCACCAGCTATCTCCACTGAGGTTTAACTTTTTAAAATGTACGTTATGTACACAGCATTATACTTCTGGCTTGCTCTCAAGCAGTTCTGAAAGCGGTTCCTCCCTGAGAGATTTCAGAGTTGAGCAGCAGCAAGCAGCCAATGCAGCCGTGCTCACAGAACCCATTGAAAAGCATTAAAGAGTACAGAAAACCCTTCATACTCTGTTTACCTCAGTGTTAGATAAGGAAACAAAACCAACCCGCATGTGGGCAGTAATAGCTGCTATCTCCACACAGATTGCCATGGTTATTTCTATAAGATGGAGGGGTTAATTTCCACAAGTATTCCTTATATGTAATTATTTTGATGCATGGGCTGACTAAGGAGTCTGCAGTTTGATGCTGTACAAATGCCAAGTAGCTTGCTGGTTACCCAATACCATACATATTGATCGTACAAAGAGGTGATTAAGCACCCTAATGTGCTAAGTGTAGGAAGATATTTATTTTTAAAGAGTTCTCTTGCTTAATGCTTTTTCATTAAACGTTTTGTCACTTCTAAAACTGGTCTGACATAATGCACTTTGCTTCTAAACATAGCCTTATTATTTACAGAACGCAGCCAACCTCACACCCATGCAAAAAGGCAAACACTACAGCTGACAACATTTCCTCAGCGGCTCTCACAAGACCAATGAATCATCCGACCTTTAAAGCTGCCTCTCACCAGGCATTAAGAAAATCTTCCCTTGACAAAGAGAGCAGACATCAGGAGCGACGCTGCCCACAAACAAATCTCTGACACGGCATCCTTCACCCAGGGGTTCCCTGGCCACACGTGAGCCTTCTGCCATCTCTATGCAGCCCAAAGTCCTGGAGAACAGAACAACCTAATTGCACAGGACACCATGCCATGGTTTGGTGGTCTTTTTTTTTTTAATGCTCTTAGTCTACTAATGGACTACACGATTAAAGGTTAATAGCATTAGAATTGTTGTAATTGCCTTCAGCCTGGCCCGCATGATGCTGTTGAGCTTTCTGAGAGGGAGGCACCCAGCCCCTGCCCTACGGGTGATCAGCCTGGCTGCCTTCTCCCACTACTTCTAATGAGAACAATCACCCTCAAATCCTGGCTCATGGCACTGCAGCATGCACAGCCAACTCTTTTTGGGGCCCTTCCCCTACCGAGGGTCAAACTACTGTCAAACACCCACAGAAAATCTTATTTTAAGGTGAACTCCAGCTTGATGCCTCTCCAGTTGGCAACTCACCCATTTCTGCATTTTTCACCACCTTTCACATCTGTTCCAGGGGATGTCAACTGTCAAGGAGTTTCAGAAGTTCCTGCTGACCCCACAGTGCTGGCCCTGAGCGACCTCAGCTGTCCTCACACAGCAGGGGCTGTGCTGCTTCTCAGCGCTGCCACTTCCCCACATGAAGGTGATGTGGTGATAGAACAAGGGGAAATGGCTTCAGCTCTAAGAGGGTACATTGAGGTTGGATATAAGGAGAAAGTCTTCTACAGTGAGGGTGGCGAGGCACTGGAACAGGTTGCTCAGTCCCCGTCCCTGGAGACTTCAAGGCAAAGCTGGATCTGGGCCTGGGCAACCTGATCCAGTTGTGGTGTCCCTGTTCATTGCAGGGGGCTGGGACTAGATGGCTTTTAAAGGTCCCTTCCACCTCTAATGATTCTACGATTAGAAGTTTTATTTACTAGAGATGCTGAATTTCCACAAACCCTTCCTTCTGTCCCTTTGGTCAACGTCTCATCAGCTAGCTGATGTATGCTTCATTAAGTAAGCAACACAAGAAAAAATATCTATCTATCTATAATGAAAACAATAAGCAGGAAAAGGTAGGAGCTGTTGAAGCCCTTCCCTTCTTCCTCAGATGTCAGAAGAGCACTCACCCAGCACAGCCCTTTCTGGTGTTAATGTACAATGTTGTCTTTCTGTTCAGCTCACAGAGCAGCACTTGAAATATCATATCTACCCCTAAGAAGAACTGCTGCAATTACTCACACAGTTGGATACATATTTTTTTTTTCCCCCACAAAAAGTTGAGCAGGAAGTTAAATAAGTCTCATCTCTTCAGCAACAGTATGGTATGTGCTGAATGTTTTTAAGATAAGGATGAGAGGATGAATCTAAAGATGAATCTGAAGTATGTCCCCAACCTAAAATTTGTTACACAGCATTATGAAAAAGGTGTTCATGACCAGGAGACTGAAAAGCCGTGGTAAAACACCACGCTTCTCACCCAGCTCGCACATTGTTTGCTCTAGCAGAATATTTCCTACAACTGCGTCTTGCCAAAATAAAAACAGATTTCGGAGCACTAGAAAAAGTATTTTGTTTTTATTATGGTGTTCACATTCCCTGCTCTCAGAGCTGAAGCAATATAGCCTCAAACGCACCGGAAAAATTTGTTTGCTCTACATGCCCAGGCCAAAATCTTTACTGCACCATTAAGTTTAGATGTGTACACGAACTGAAGATGACCACTAGATAAGGGACAAAAAATAAACTCGGAGAGCATTCTCCAGTTTCCCTAACAAGAACAAATCAAATCTTGTACATGTGCCCATAACAAAATGATTATTCACAGAATAAAAGCAAGCCCCATTCAGTCCTTTTCTTATAATAATTTGGCATAGAATTTTTTTTAACCAACACTTATTTTTGAAAGTTTCTCTCAACTACCCAACAGAATCCCAACATTGCCTGAAAATGCCACAGAAGTCAGTATTTATATTTACAGATGAGATGGACTTCCAAGAACTCAAGGAGGGCACTTACAAACGTGATTGTTTCCAGCTCTGTAAAGGTCAAAAGCAGGATCCTTGCAATCCCCAAAATTACTACAATGTAGCCTCAACTTCTCTATAACTCACCTTAAATTCTAGAGATCTGAGAGAACAGAAAATCAGGCTATCAGGACTTGGCACAATAGGTGAGAAAACACCACCACATTTCAATTAGACACAGAAAGCATTCAGATTGCATTCTCTTGCTTCACTGTGGTTGTCCTCCTTTATCAGGAAGTTACTTTCACAGAAAGGTTATCAAGTTGATGGAGAAGGGCTCTTCCTCTAGAAAACTATTCTCACGACTTGAGGATAAGGAAAAAGCGAGTATTCAACAGTGCCAAAAAAAGTTCTCAGTAATACAAACTAGACTTTAAATCCAGGCATCCCTGCAGAGAAGAGATTTACAGAAAAATAAAGTATCTAAGTGAACATCACCTTTCAGATGTGAAGAGAGAAGCGCAGCAGCACAGATTATAAATGTAAACGAAGTCCATGCGGGACATGAGAGATGACCACATGCAAACAGCTGAACACAAAAGGACTTGGTCATGCTACAACCTGGAAGTTACCTGTCTTTTGGTTGACAGCAAAGCAGCCACAGGGTGGGGGAATATAAGTCAGTACAAGCAAAGCAAAGCTAAATCAGACCCATACATCAACAGCCAACACAAAAGCACAGCAAGATTAAATTGTCAAATGGACAGAAGTGTTATTAAATATGCTTAAGATCTCACGCACAGTTTCAAGTGCATGAGCTGGCTCCATACTTACGTGCAACCGTTCAGTGACCTGCTCACTTCGGTGTGATCTTGCCAAAGTGCATTCATCTCTGGGAGCACCCCGTGCAGTTGTTCACTTGCACCAATTGCACTCTCTCCAAACTTTCTTTTTAAACTCTCAATTTAGAGCCGAAAAGCAACATGTCTGCAGTAGACAATCCTTAAATCTAAAATTTTCCTGTTTACACCAACAAAACTTGGATTTGTTGACAGATCAGAAAGCTGCTTGGCAGGTTTTTTTGCATGAACCTCAGGAATAACTTGGGTTGCTTTTGCTTTAGCTTTTGTTTGCAGCACACTGATACATTTACTCAAAGCACAATTTTCTAGAACCAAAGTGAAAACTGGGAATATCTTTACTCGATTCCTTCAAATTTCCTCATCCTTTACACCAACTTCTGCTGTGCAGAATCACGCAGCATCTGAGCAGTTTCATGGCTTATGGTTACATTTGCCATGGAACAAATTAAATACACATACACACATACAGATTTCTATGTATTGGGGTAGAAAATATCTATTAATATTCAACAGAATTACAAGGCCTTACAGAAGAAAGAAAGAAGCCTTGTAAAGCTAGGTTCTTAGCCTGTGATGTGTTCAAAAATTGATATCTATTTCACATGTACACTTTTTTTTTTTTTTTTTTTAACTCCATCTAAATAACAGCATAATTCACACAGGCAGCATAAGAAGCACAGATGTTTTGGTCAAGTCCCACAACAGTTTGCACACAGGCTTGGAAAAAACATATGAAGATTCATTCGTTTGAGTTCGTACTTAATCTCTCGTAAAAACCTGCTGAGGTCAAGATTACAACACTTGCATTTGCATTTATTTCTTTATTCCCTATTCCATTTAACATGTTAATGATAATCAGTTAAGTCTTTATTTTGCTCAGGATGATCAGACAGCAGATTTCAGAAGTGACACAGACTGTTTTGTCTGCAGTACAGGAGTACTCACAGAAATGGAGATGCAAGATGAATTTGACACATCGGAATGACCTGCGGTGGAAGTGACACTTCCTACTCTCAGCATTACACAAAAGCAGGTTAGTTAGCAGATGGCAATATAATTAGGAAAACATAGTTTTAAACCAAATGTTAAAATTGACAAGTTGGGGCATATAGTAAAATCCACAAACAAATTTGATCAAACATCTTGGATTTCTCATGCTAAGAACACACAGCCTAAAAGAATGCTGTTGCTTTTTCTCCCTCCCCAGGCTGCTGAAATCTAAACAGTGGAAGCACGATTAGAATTAGAAACGTGGTGTAGGTGCCAATTAAAGGCGGCGCTAAGAACAAACAGAAGTCTTGACTGACATTTCACTGAGCTGCATGAGCCGTGGCCCTTCTCTTTGGAAATAAACTTATGTGCATGCTCCACTTCCATACAATAAATACTTACAGAAAGTACAAACCCTTTCATTTATGGGAGGCAATACATATCAGGGCAAAAATAGCGCACATATAAGCATTCTCAGAACCGGAGCTTGAGTCCAAGAACTCACACTACATCAGAACAAGGCTTACATTGCAGTTCAGCAGGACATCATGCGAGGTTTATGCTGTAAAAGCAGATCCAACAAACGCATCCCAAGAAGTGCTCTGCAGACCCAAAAGCCTATGGCTTGTTCCTACACGTGCCCACTGCACAGCAACGCCGAGCGCTCAAACATATTTCTGCAATGTCACCAATGGAGGATTCTGTCGGCACGTTTTTTCCTCCAGCTAAACAACTCCACTATAAGTAAAAATAACTAGAAAAAAAACAGTAAAAAGAATTAAAGTGAGGTATTCACAATACAACTACTTCTATCTAAAATATCTTACAAGTACAATTTTCTAGATCTAGCCTCTGATCTTGACAGAACTTCAGCAGGAAAACTGTCTGAACGATCAATTTGAAGCTGAATTTTTAGACTTTAAACAAATGTTCCCAGTAGGCAGAATAAGACTCATTTCAGCTGCACTTGGGATGAATTTACTAGAGCAATTTTAAATAGCGATCTTGGTGTTCTGTCACCCACAAAGAAGCCTACTTAGAGACTCTTGGCTTCCTGCAGCAAAGAACCACATTCCCTGTATAACACATCCATCACCAGGCTGTACCAGAAAAGAAGCCTTGCAAACCCTATCTTTTTTATAAAGAACACTTGCACTTTCTTGGCAAATCCTTCTCAAGAAAATATAAAGCGTATCACACTGTTTTAGCAATCCTTTATTGAAGATAACAAGTTGGTTATGTTCACTGTATTGTATGAAACATCACAATATCATACTGGGAAAGTACTATCAGTACAGGGTTGGACCAGAGCGGATAGTCTGAACAATAAACCATTTTGCATTCTTCATTCCCTATCTTTTAACAACCCCCAAAAAAACAGTAAAGGGACAAATACCTGTTAACATCGTCATTTAGAACACTTTAACTTACAAAGCTAAAATCTAATGAATAAATAAAATATATTGTGGCAATAATCTTCTCTAGACCCCCCCAAAAAAAAAAAAAAAAATTTAAAAAATCAGGTACACAGTGAATCAAAATGATGGGGAAAGCTGGCCTTCGGCACTGCTATGAAAGAGCATGTGGTTTATACAGACTCACCATGGGGATAAAGTTACAGAAAAATACCATGAATTCCATTTCACACAAAACCAGTTGATGACTGTCATTAGCTTAAAACTACACACAAGGGCAATTACATCCTCGCTGAAACACAGTTTAAACAAATAGGAAAATGTTTACAAGGCATCCACAGCATGTAAATCATGTACAGATGGATACATTCATTGTTTCCCCTCCCCAATAGCTTTTACTTTAGATAAATACTTTACTCTTCCCCATTTTCAGCATTTACTGGACTCATTACATGCACAACTCAAAGAAGTCAGAAGAAAAAGTCAAGGTTATTGCAAAAATAGAATTAAACTAAGAATCTTCAAGTACCTTACATGACAGCCACTCTGTACCATGCCCATTGCTTATAAAATGAAAGGTCATTGAACCCATGAAAATATCTCTAATATTTTCTTAATTTAAAATAGATAATTTTAAGTGTATTTATAGTAATCTCAAAGTGATAATTTGAACTTTGAAAATAATGCAAACAATTAAAAATTATACCCATATTACACAAGACTTCTGTCCGTATCTTAAGCTGAAAAAAAATCAAAAAACTATAGAAAAACCACATATAGAACAAAAAAATAATCACAATTTACATTATAATAAAGGCAAATTTTCAGCATTTTTTTTTTTTTTAAAAACCTGCAGCTGTGAGAGATGTCAAAACAAATCACTACTAACTAGAAACTCATCAGTTTGGTTTTAAAAGATTTTCTCTAGCAAGAGTGTAAGGGTGTGTTGTACACATGCGTAAAATTCTTACTGTTTTTAGATGCCTAGAATCTTCATATATTATTGCCAAATACACTTATCTCCAAGCAAGCAGTAGGCAACATATCACAATTTGGACACCGCAGGGAAACCTAACGGTCTGGTAATACAGGTAAAACTGGAAAATTAAAAATAATAATAATAATAATAATAATAATAATACACATCTGATAGCATATTGCCCAATTGAAATTACTTCCAAGCCACAGAGCTGCAAAGCCTTCCAACTCGGTAAAGTGAAATAAGGAACGTCTCACAGAATTACTTGTACTCTCTCGTGCTTGTATGCTGTAATTTCATTTAACCACAGTGTATCTTCAGAGTACAACTACAATCCCATGCAACTCAGGTACATACACTGATCTGCTGAGAGCATCACTCCTTCCTTCCTTTTTAGGGCCAAAGTTCATTACAGATGTAATCAGTATGCCCGAGGCTGGTAAAAATACTGTAGTACAGGCAATGCTAAGAGTGGCAATATCGGAAAACACAAACATGAACGAATGATGGAAAATTCTAATATCTTTCTGCCCATT